CCCTCAGCCAGGGTCAACCCACCACAGGTGCTTAACAAAATAGTTACTAGTTTATACTTGGAGACAAGGAAAGTTTTGATGTTACTCTTTAGTATTGATTTGGCTTCTTAATCCAACATTCCAAAGTACATTTTACTGCTGTCACATTGATGAGCTTTGAAGGCTGAACACCAACATAGTTTTATTGCTTTGTCAAGACTAAATTTTTTATTGGAATACTTTGCTGTGAATGTACACAGCTAACTCAGAACAGACACTACTGTACAACCAAGGGGCCAGAACATAAATCAAGACACTGTTCCAAGAATAGTCTATGTTTTAGTTAGCTGTTCGTGTAGAAGATATCAAAAGCTTATTCATAAAGACCACATCCTACAGAGTTTTCCGGAAATAGTCTATTCCCAAAAGAAATTTCAGCCATACCAAATCTTGTGAGCACAACATTTGGGATTAATCTGCAACAGAAAAATGTGGTCAGCAGTGACTATTGTGCTATGCCCTGGGACACACTGAAGTCTGGCCTGGAACGCTTATCGGTGAGCTTACCGTGCCACGGCTGAGTCCACATCCGGCCTGTCTCAGATGGGCCATGACAGAAGTCATGGAGTTTTACTCCACTCAGGAAAAGCTGACTGACTGCAGGCCTCAGCAGAGCAAGCAGAAATGCTCTCACAATGTCAGCCCCACTCCCCCAGGGCCAGGGAGGTCAGAGCTGACCCTCCAGACCAGGCAAACACCCTCTGGTCATTCCCAGGCTGAGCAGAGAAGCAACTAGAGGCAATTTCCAAAACCACGGCTCAGCATGACTCACCATTCTGTCCGATGTGCCATGCCAGGCTGGCTCATCCACCTCGCTACAGCCCCACAGCACTTACAAATCCTTTGTAAAGGAACAATAGTGCAGGTTGGGACAGTCATCAACAGGAAAGCAAGTTCATGCAGAAAAGCTGGCATGTGCTGAACTGTATATAACTAGATTTTGTTATTGCTAGTGCTTGTCATACCAGAAGAACATTGCAAGGATGCTGCAGATCATGTTTTCAGCACAGCTTTAGAAAGGCAACCAGAATTATGTTTTTTTAAATTTTTTAGACAGGTGTTGGAGCTAGAACAGTTTACATTGCAGCTGTTCACAGCACAAGCTGGAATCAGCCATACCCTCATTTCCTCATCTACAGAATCAGTAAGTTTGCAGTGATTGATAAACAGTGCTTTAAGAGAAAATATAAACCACTTAATCTTCCTGAGTTGTGTGAAACCTATTTAAGTAATATCAGCCACAGCCAGCATGAGGCCCCAATGACAGACAGCTGTAGTGTACAGATTTAAGGTTAGCTCCGTTACCAAACACTTCAGTAGATTTAGAAGTACTGCAGTGAGGTCTTTATTTCTCCTTTCATACTAGAAGGGGAAAGCATTTCTATACAGTGCAGTTGGAAGCAATCCTACCTTATTGATACTACAAAGCACTTATCTATTGTCCCTTTAATAAAAGATTGGTTTACATGCCCACTGGAATTCTTGGTATTTCAGAGTACTACTGTATTTTCAGACTAATACTACCAGATTTTTCAGACTTGTCTTCTGTAGCAAAGGATTATGAGCAACAAAATAACAAAGGTTTCCCTCTCCCCCTCACACACTTGTCAGTCTCCTACAGCTGCTGCTTTTTTTTTGACAGGCATAATAGCTAGCAATTTATTTGTGATCAAGAGCAAACTGGCATACAATGCTTAGGAAAATAAGCAGCTACACAGCAATAAACTAATCAATCTTTAAAAAGTTATTTATCAAAGTTTAAATGCTTCATTATATGAATTTTATCTGAAGCCTGCCAAAGTCTTCCCATACACGAACTAAACAGTTTGATGACTGGATTGTCAAATGCTGTAGTGCAAGGACAAGATGTACCCTGTATCATTGAGCTGCATCCAGCACTCCAGCTCCAGCCTCCACGGGGCTTCTGTCAGCTTTGTCCTCCTCCCTTTGGGACAAAGATACCCTGCCTGTCAAGAAGCATCAGCATTCATCACTTATGGCCATCTCCCAAAAATGCAACTGCCTCTACAGTTGAACTTGCAACCACAGCATCAAGTTTATCCAGTGACATTTCCTGCTTCTCCATTCAATGTTTATGTTCGATTTACTTTAATGTAAATCACGTTTAAGTGAAGAATGTTTGTCCTCCAGGAATACAATGCCATAACTCAGCAATCCACGTGCTGTTTGCAGGCTTGTTTCATGGATGTCCTGGTGAAGGATGCACAGCACATCCCCTTTCCCCCCTCCTTCTTTCCAAACACTAAGTTCAGCTTTCTGTTCCTGTGTCTGTAAATTACTTTACCTTTATTACCACGGTCTTCACCCCAGGAGTTTTCCACTCTCCATTTTTCAAATGCCTCTTCTTGCCCCTCCTGTGAGAAAACAAGTCAATGACTATTCAGTAGTGAAGGGCCATGTGAGTTTATAGCTGCCAACCCTTCCAAGTCTAAATCCAGCACCAGCAAACCACAGAGCTCTGCTCCCAGAAGTCGACAGGCATTGGTGAGTTTCAGACAATGGTTTCATGCTAATAGTTAACAAAAGGTAATTTTATAAAATATTGTCTATCCACTTACATAAAATATGAGGAAACATGGTCAAGAAGAGAACCTGCAATAAATGTTTATTTTAACCAGAAAATGTAAATTGAACTAAATTCAAGTTTGGACTTAACTGACTGACAGAATTTAAGCAGCCTTCCCTATCACCTGTCAGGACATGGCCCTTCTGAAGTGCAGAACACACGACTTGCTTGAACTAGAATCAGAGGAAAGGAAGAAAGGCAATGAAGCAACCATAATGGTTTAGAACAGTATTAGTAAGAGCAAGTGCAAACACTTTAAGAATTAGCTAAAGGACACAGGTCTAAGTCAGGTGCTTTGAAAGAGATACAAAGCTTCTAACGAGCATGAAGTGCATTTGACTTCATGTCCATAACTGTGCAGCATTCTAGCCTGCATTGTGTATATCTGAAGTCTGGTTCAAATCTACCAAGTAGATAAAAACACCACAAACAGCTTCCCAGGCTTACTGGGCCACAAAGAACTGTTCCTTCCTTCAAGCAGCCTCTCATGAGGCAACAGCAGGTCCCTCAAGGAACCAAAGAACAGTTATTCTTTCACTACTAAAGTTTTTTATACAAAAAACTAGCCTGGAAAACACTCCACAAATTAATTTTAAATATTCAAAGGAATATTGTTGTATTGCTTTATTCTTACTTTAAAAAAAAAAAGTAGGACTGTCCTTAAAACAAGACGCTAAAGAGCTGCCAGACTGAGGATAAGGCAACTCTTGATGCTATTGCACAGAAACTAGGATAAACATGTTTATGTACATTAAGTTTTTAACCAAAAGGTGCATTTAATCTACATCAATTTTTTTATGTTGTAAAATCATAATAGGATTTTTTAAATCTTCAAAGCATTTTTATGAAGTAGGTAAATCCAAAGTATTACATTTTACAACTCAGTTTATCAAAGCTCCTTTAGATTAAGTTAAGGTTTAATATAAGACAACATGTTCAAACAAAAAGTACAAACAACTTACTCTGTTTTGAATGTGGGAAAGCCTCTAAATGCTGAACTTGTTCTAGGATATTTTAACTATCTTTTGATTTTAGAGATACCATCCATCATACACTGATCTTATATGCATCCTTTTCTTAAAGCAATCAGGTCACATTTGATCACACTGTATGCAACTATACATTTAAGCATCCAAAAGTATGAATTTAAAAATACAGACCATAGACTATAGCTGCCAACAAAGAGCAGCCAGTAACTGGGTAAAGTACAAACATGCACACTTCAGTTGTGAATAACTTGGTTTTGAACACTAGAAAAGGATCATTTTTAGTATCTAACTGAAAACCAATGAAAAATTTTTTAAAGATGTGTTCATGCAGTCCAATCCACAAAATAGAAGTGTTAAGAGCTCAGAATGAAGAACACAACAGGAAAAGTTATATTGAGTTGTAAGAAGTAACTCAAAAATTCTTATGACTCAGCAGTCCCATCTCAAGTCCTCAAACTCCAGAGCTCAATCAAGCTTTCAGTTTTATGCAAGCTGTTATTTCTCAAGCCAAGGTTATGCTGGACAGGAAGAGATCACTTCAAAGAAACTTTAATAATGACAGCTTCTGGAAATAAATGGAAAACATCAACATCGCAGATAACCCTGGGTTGTAAATTTTCACATGGTTCTTTTTACTTCAAGCATGCTTTGTTATACTGCCAGGAGCAGCTTTAGTTGTGGATTCGTCTCAGCCTACCGTCTGCCACAGAGCTATTTTGGATACCATTTTCCTGCCCTAATTATGAGTGGGTCAGAGAGGTCACATGCCAGTGAGTTGCAGGAGGTTACAACTGTTGCAAAGTGCCTCCTACTGGCATTTTAACAGAAGGAGCTTCAGGCTGTAAAATGCAGGTTGGACTAACCATGCAATGGGATAGGGTAGGAAATACTTGCTGGCATACTAGATTTCTTGCCAAGCAAGATACATCAGAATCTGCATTTAAAAGTCAGTTAACACAGGTTTCCTAAAAATAGAAGCCGACTTTCTTTTCCCTTTCTCCAATAAAATTGTGGGCAGAAGGAAAGAAGCCCTGACACGTCTAAAATTCTTCCCTCCTTGTTAAATATTTATAGTTCTGAACACTCAGACACAAACACCACAGGGAGAATAGACAACCCAGGCCTTGCGCACCAGGGTGTTGTGGCACACCATGCAGAATCCCAGCAGGACAGCTTACATACTGTCAGGGAGCCCAGAACACAAACAAGCTGCTGGAATAGTCAAATACATCTGTGCAAGCATCAGAGCTTCTGGAGTGAGACTCTACCTTCTCAGTGACAGCTGTCAGGACCATGGCATGGGTCATCATTGATTCTCCAAAGATTAATCGTTCTGCTTTGTTCATGTTCTTGATGGAGACACCAAACACCAGCTCATGATTAAATCTATTAGAAAGCCACATAAGTGATATTAAAAAGGACATAGAGAGGATTCTCACTAGCAAACTAGAGCGCCGGTAGACTGCCCCATCCCATGAGCTGCTGCACAGGCATGGAAGTTCAACTGTTTTCAGTGTCAGAATAAACACAAAACCTGATCCCTCTAGGAGTTGCTTTCACCAGATACTAGACAATCCAAATGAGTAAGAATATTTAGCAATCCCTTGTAGTGCATCTTTGAAGGATTAAGATTTTAGCTAACAAGTGAAAAAAATTTCTGTTGCTGCTGAATTACTTAAATATACTCTTTTTGGGTATATAATCCAAAGTATGTACAAATTAGTTTCTTAAGCAGCCAAAGCAACTGTTTATGAACTAGCCAAGTATCCCAAATGATATTCAGTTTTGATTTCCTACTTACATATTCATGTCATTGATTCCCAGCTTGCCATAGAAGTGCTTTGCAACATCGCAGCCAAACCACACAGCCTACAAACAGAAGGAAGAGTCATGTCTAGGCCACATCCCAGGGAGTTTTACATGGCAAGAGCTGCCCCATACCATCCATGAAGAGAAACCAAACAAACCTCGCCATCCTTAATAGATGCTGCAGCTAATTTTTTCAAGACATCAACAGGCTGGTTGTTATAGAGCGTTTTCCTCCCTCCTACCATGTTGCCCAGGTACTCCACTGTATACAGCCTGTTGTACGGGTTTTGAGGTCGAGGATCGTTCACTAGACAAATCTGCCAAAAACCAAGATGTCAAATTAAGGTGCAACTTAACTGAAATCTTTGAGAAGTGAATCTAGATCAATTTCAGAGAATTGCTTTTGTTCCAGCTAGTTGTCCATCTCATTAGCAGATACATCGCTTGGCTGAAATACCACGTTTGAGTTTTTTGATTTATAAGTTCACCTTGTAACTGTGGCATAGCAGCTTTGCACGTTATTCCTGTTCTCTAATGGTTGTCTTATGACATTTTATGACAGATCATTACAAAATCATCATGGCAGTGCAACACGAGATCATGGCTAATGGAAAGGTAGAGCACAAACAGGAGAATAAACATAGGGCCACCTGACTTGTGGGAGCAGTACCCATCCCATATGGTGCAGTCACAGGGGTAAACACTTGCAACAGTGGAAAACAAGTGGCTAAGCAGCAAAAAAGGTCTTGGGAAGCTACTGCCTTTCAGCACCCCCAACCTTGTCCTCCATGTTGAAGTAAGGCTTCACGTGCTCGTTGTAGAACTGGACCGGTGTCACAGGACCGTATTTGTGGTAGTTCTTCTCCTTATCCCGGAACTCCCAGCAGAAGGTCTCCGGAGGGCTGCCCAGGCAAGTACTCACTATTCTGAATACCTGCCCAGAGAAGGAAACAGCTGTGAACCTGATGAAACACGCAGGTCTGCCGCTCCTACCACAGCAATGCCATTGATGAATGGATTTCTCCATGTGAGAACCAACTGGAGAAGTGGGATCTTAACAGCCACCTCTGAAGAACATGAATAAGTGTACACATATGAATTATTCAGCTCTGGAAATCTAGGTGTTTCAACAGTTCAAAACCAATCTGAAAGGCCACGGGAAAGTCAACAGAACATCTCTCCATTTTCACACTCTACGTTCTCAGGTAAACCATCAGGCAAAACAGAAACTTAAGGTTGAACATATAAATTCCAGGTTATCCTAGGAATGCAGCAGCCAAAAGCAAAAGCCAATACACTGCCCAGTCTCATCCCAACATGTCATTAGCAATTCTGAAGCTCTACAAGAGAAACTGATTCTAGAAAGGCTTAACATTCAGCATCACCTGTTCCACCAGGAGGTTTGCCCCATGCAGAGACAAACCAGATCTTCTAACATGCAAACAGCAAAGCACTTTAGCCCAGTGTTTCCCCTGTACTAATCCCCTTTTTTCTGTAATGTTCATTTGTATTTCAAAGATGGGCCTTTGCTTCTTTTCAAAAGCCTAGAATAATCTTCTTGTCTGTTTTAGTACATTTAACAATGTCTCAGTTTAGGGTTGAACTGACAGATTATGTGATTTAATTCAAGATCCCTGCCCACTGGCTGCAACATCCTTTGCAGCTGGCAGCTTTCTATTGATTTTTAGCAGAAAAAGTTAACCAGATTTCAAGGCAGCCTCCCTATAAATCAGAATATGAAACTGCACTTAGAGTCACTGCACTTTCTCACAGGGCTTATAAAATGTGCTAACTCACAGGCAGTGTAACCAGATGACTGTCTTTAAGGATCTTTAGCAGGACTCGCCACAGGTACTCTGGGGACAGAAAATTCAATCATATTTAAACAGCTTTGAATCTGTTTTACTTCAGCTGGCACTGATCTACTTCAGCCCTGTCCATGTCTTGAGAATGACAAATATCCTTGCAAGGAACCAACAGGATATTTAAAAATAAGAGAAGGGGGAGTCAGATCTCAACTACACCGTCTGCACTAGGATCCAATGCCTGTGGTTTGTGCCAGCTTCCCCAGGCTGGCAGTCCTCAAGCCTTCCTCACTGACTTTTCACAGGAGTAGACAGAATGCCTTTCCCAAAGCTGACTTGCTCTCTCTGGAGCCAGTTGAGCTGATGCATACGTATCCTGAGGCTCCGTGCTACGTGCACTTTGTGCTGACGGCAAGAGGAATGCAATGTTCATACTACGTAACACTATTTCACTGTGCCCAAGATACAAATAAAGGTATTCTTGCTCTAAGCAATTTAAGAAAACAAGTGAAGAGATTAATTACAGGTTGAAACAAGGGTGTGGGCTTAATGCTTTTACTGGAGGAACTCACATTTATTTCTCAATAAGTATGTTAAAGAGCAAATGTAAATCCCTAAACTACTATAAATATTTAATTTTGCACAGACTGCACAAAAGGTATCATTTGCTGTGGGTACACCCACATTACCTCAGATAAACCCAAGTGGTGAGAGATGAGGCTATGAAAACAAAACAAGCAAGAAAAATGCCTAAAGGGAGAACAACAAGCAAGTGGGCTCCAGCCAGAGGAAGGAAAATGATGGAGACAGAAGTCTCAAGCTAACAGAGGCAGTGGAGCCTGGGAATGGCCTCCCTCAATTGTTTTGCCACCACACCCATCATCAGCCACCTCTTAGTATCTCACAAGCTTCCGCTATCAATAAATAAGGAGACGTATTTAAACTCAAATGTGACTTGTATCACTCTAGCAAGAACTAGAGCCAAGATAAGGCAAAGATATAGTGGCTTGTGTTAAAAATCCAAAGTGAGCGAGGAGGGGAAAAGAAGGACAGTCCCGATAAGAAAGAATCTACAAAGGAGAACAGTAAAGGAAGAAAAATTCAATCACATGCACTGCACTGATTTCAACTTCTGACCTGCTGTGCACTGGTTTGATAAGAAAAATGTTTATACAGTTCTGGAGTGAATATTTAATCTTGTGTTCCAGCACAACTGCCCCATTTTAGCTAGAGCACAGCCTCCCAGCATGAGTGAACCAAGATTTGCTGTGTGAATAAAACTTCACAGAACAAAACCAAGTTCTGCTTTGCCACATACAAAAATAGATGCAACACCGCTTATGTACATATAAACACATGAAATGAGAGTGGTCTCAAACTTTTAAAACTAAGTGGTTTTAAAGTATACAAGACAGGTGCAATTGCACATTTCAACTACAATGTTTACTATAGTTAAGGTTGCAAACCTCTATTACCACTGCAAGAGGAAATACTGTGTTAACTTCAGAGAATCGAGTACAACCTTATTACAGAACAGACAAGTTGCAATCAGTTAACGAGCCTTTAATGTTGGTTCCAGTATCCCTTGTCAGAGGGCAAGAGGCTCTGAACAAATTGACATTTTGCAATGAACTGTACATCATTTCTCTAAAAATGAGCATCTCCAGGAAGCTTTTGATGTCTGCTGTAAAATCGTCCAAGGGCTTTTGGACACACACACTGGATGTAAGTTGTATTAATTCACTTTTGAACTAAGTGCTGATTGGCAACATGCTGGGGTAAGCTCAAAGCACAGAATTACTGTTGATCTTGAGGCATACACTTCCTAAAAGTTTTAGTTTCCATAATTATCCTAAGGAACATGAATCAGTTAATCTAACCTTAATTTTAGATAAAAAGCTACAGGTTTTTTACATGAAGTGCAAAGATGAATTTCTAAAAACCAAACCAACACATTAATCAATTCTTGCACATCAGTAGAACTGCCTGAAGCTTTACAGAAATAGCCCAATGTAGGTTCTGCCTAATACTGATGTTTACTGCATTGCAGAAAAAGTAACACACATGACTCAAGAAATCAAATGTTTTAGTTATCTAAAAACAGACATTGAAACCATGGGGTCACTTTCCATTGTATATTTGAGAAACAAATGAAATATACTTTTTTAAAATGCATATACTTCAAACTAAAACAGCCTGAACTTTTAAAATTAGTTTTGGCTATTTAAGAATCAAATATGAGGACTCCTGAATAAGAAAAATGACATGTGTCACTGTCATACTCGGTGTGAACAGATGGAGGGCCAGCCACTACACTCACACTGCATCCTACAGACTTGCTGATTTAAGTTAATTCACACAGCTAGAAACAGATCCTGTGATTCCTTCCTCTGCTGCCCCCCACTATCAGACCACCACTGGATTCAGCCATGTGTTCAGCTCACATCTTCTCCACGATGCAGAGAAGTCCCTTTCCTTGCTCTGTTCTGCTCTCTTGTGGGGAATATCTGCAACAACACTTGTGCTGTGAGATCTTACATTCAAAGCCATCAGAATGCAATTTTCAACCTGTCTCTTTCCTACTATTTGTTGCCTGTCATGCCTTTATAATTTTGATCTCTCGAGATACAAAATGCTGCTTTCCTACAGAAAGAGGCAGATGTCCACAAAATGTCATAGTTCTGCAACCTATACATTCAAGATACTTGTCTGGAAGTATTAGAAAAATTCAGAATGCGATAAGCAACAAGACACTTCAAAAAAATCCACTTCAATACCTCCAAGCATGCTGCCATATAAAACACTCCTAGTTAGGCAAAAGGCACTTGTTTTGGCTGATCCCATATCTATAGAACAAGAGTAAGGAAGAAATCTCATCCGTCCTAGCCTCAAATTCCCCAAAGATTCACGTCACACAAGTATATTTACCTCTTCTATCATAGTGTCCATTGCAGCACAAAGTTCTCCTTTAATTGTTCCACTTTCCACCATATTTCTTAGCCGCAAACAGTATTCTCTCATCTGTTTAAAGAGTAAGTAATTTTATTACAAGAGTAGGAAAGGTGCCACCTAATTAGTTTTCAGGATTTCCTATGTGGTTGTTTCAAGCACCCATTTTACTCTTCATGTTTTCAAAATGAGAATTCCTTTCAGAAGGCTTTGCATAATTGATCTCTTGCTTGATGAAATGCTCCGTTCTTTTTCCCACTGCATGCAGAACCGCAGTAAGAGGAGCACAAGCTTCCCATTACTGTCACCATCCATAAGGCCAGGAACAGTGAGTGGGGCTCCCTCAAGACCAGCTGGTTTTCAACATTCAAGACTGGAATAACATTAACACCACTCATTATGCCTAAGCTCATTGCAGCACATATTTTACATTTTTAATGTGTATTTCAGCAGGCAATTTTCCCTGAGCATGTAGCACATGAACTGGGGAAAAAAAAAGAAATAAAGCTCACTGTAAAAAAATGCTTTAATTACCTTTTATCTAACTACCTACACTAGCATCTTCCCAAATTAATTCATTTCTGTAGTTCAGGGAGCATGCTTACACCTTCCCCCAGGCAAAGCTGCGCACTTCTATGCTGAACACTGATTTTTAAGATTCAGTGTTTCAAAAAACACTTTTTTCATCTTTTGCATCCAATTTTGGCAGTAATCTCTAGAAGCCTTGGTGTATTGGTAGACAAAATACTGAGGGGACCAAAAAAGTCACCTAGATGAAAAGTGCTAATTTTGCAGAAACAAGACTTAATCAGCCACACAAAGAATTAATTTTTTGGAAATGTGATGACTAGGAACAATTGCTACTAAAACCACGTCAGGTACTCTCAAGCTACTGAAGCCTAGCAATTGCCATCTTCCATAAACACACTGCTCCGTTTCAAGACTTTGCCAAGACTTTAGGCTGCTTTTTGAACAAAAGCAAATTAAGTTACTGAAATGCACTTAGTACTTTGGTCAATAAAGACAAATGAAAGTAGGAATGCTTTGAGCAAGGTCATTCCCATCCCCTCCCCTTAATTGTATCATCTCAATCAATTTTACCTTATGATTCAAGATCTCATTCATCCTCCTAGTAGCCTCTGTGGTGTGAGACTCTGGGAAGTATTTCTTGGGGACAACACCGTACTTTTCTAAAAGTAATAAAACTATGCGTTAACAATTGTCTTTTCCACACAGCAGATACTAGTTCTTCTGCTTATACCTACAGAAAAGCTAAATATAGTTGGGTTTTGTGCAGTGATTATAAGGGAAAGTGTCTTAAAGGTTACAAGTATTCAAGGTCTACATTTTGATTTCTGACTCAGTCTTGACCTCTGATCTGCATTGCACAGGGATCCCAAAAGGTGGAATCCCTGAACAGCTCTGTATCATTTAATTCAACACTTTCAGAAGTTCTACACTAATTAGTGCTTTTTAAGAGGCTCTTTTCACCAGAAAAAAACAAACTGATTACTTGAAAATTAAGCTCCTGAAATATCTTCTAAAAAAATGAACCTCTTCTGAATTATTCTGCATACTTCATGTAAGGTTAAGTGACTAACTTTCTAGTGTCCTTTCCTCCTCGACATTTATAAAACACCAGCAATAGCTCAATTGCTTCCTACGTTATTGTACCAAAGATCACACCATGCAAGGCTCTGGATTTAACAGCAGCATGCAAAGTCTCCTCTGCTCTAATTATTTATAACAATTGAATGGGGAAAAAAGTAACCTCCAGGCTTCAAAGAAACACATTCCTTTTGTGATTCTAAACTTGTATAATGGCTTGTTGATTTACAAAGGTGTCACATTATTTCACAACGCAAGTGAAAGCAAATGCTAGTGTAATTCAGACATGGAGAAGTATCTCCTTAATCAGTATATGGAAGATCCCACTTAAGCCGGATCCTCGCAAGACCAGCATTGCCACATTCCACATCATTTCCCTCTCGCTGATCTTTATACCATCTTTCTTCAGGCTGCAACTCTAAGTGGTTTTGCTTCTGTCTTGTAGACACACCCTAGTCTACAACGGGTTTTTTCCTTACCCTGTGCCCTAAAAATGGTATATATGGATATAAACAAATGATGTCAGGTTGATAACTGAAGTAAAAGGAGATTGAACCTTTTCACTAAATGGAAAGTCTGGGATATCTAATTACTTCTGTTGATTTTCTGAGCTTCTATCATCAGCAGCAATATGCAAGAGTGAAGATCCCAGAGAAGATTGAAGCCTAATATTTATAAGCTGGCATGAAAAAGGTCTTTGATTAAAAGAAGGTAGTGGCTAATGGCAACGTGTTCCTCAAACTCCCAGGTCTCAAACTCAATTTCTTCTTCTATTTCATTCCTCATCTCTCAAACAAACGTGTAATTTCAGAAAGGGCTACTGGTGACCAGTTCTCTTACCAATAATGTTAACCAACATATCCCACTGTCCACCATCATTTGTAGGGTTGGAGAGCAGGAACTGTATCAGTCTTCCTTCCACAGGCTCCTTTTTCTGAGCTGTTTCCACAAATGCATTTAAAAAGTAATAACAACGTTCAACCTGGAACAGACAGACAGGAAAAAAGATATTTCAAGTGTGACATTGTGCATTAATTCCAAAGAACTGAATACTCAGGAATGAAGTCCTAATGAGAAGCTACCTTCTGCTCATCTACTGAAGTTCTTATTTTCACTTAAGTATTCCAGGGCTTATCCTATAAACTTTTTTCTGTCACAGACCAAATATTTAAGAGTGAGTTAGCACAGAGCTTGGGGGTAGGGGAACAGGAAATGTGAAACAGAAGTTACGCAATGAAGCCCGACCCAAACTAGCACTAAATTTTCTCAATTTCCCTAAGGAAAAAAAGCAGGCACACAGCTCACACATCAGTAGGTCACAAGCATGACTGAAAGCACAACAGAAAGTTACAGTCCTGTTCCCCTGAGCCTCCTACAAGTAACTCTTGAAATATGCACAAGACTTGGAAGAAGACTTCTAGTGTTCCAAAACATTAACATCTCGACAACTACCTTCAAGCTGAAAGCCCCACTTTGCTAAACCCACATTTAAAATATATATTTAAAGAACTTTGGAAGTTCTTTCTCATAGATGTTTTTCACCTGGATTGTTAAGACAGTCCAACCTAAAAGAAATTCTGTCCCAATACTAATACCCGATTGCATAAGCCGTCCTAGCACAACCTGCAACCTGTGCCACTGTACCTTATCCCAGAAAAAGAGATACGACTGGCTGAATTCAAACTCTTCAATGTTGTATTTCTTCATGAAAGGAAGACGCATTGCATTGAGACAGGAAAAGATCCAACATCTCCCTGAGAGATCAAAGGAACAAGAATTAAATTGGAAGGCTTAAGAGTTGGTTAAGTTTTTTTTTTTTTTTTTTTTTAAACATAAGTTTCACAGCACGATTCCGCCTCAAGCCTTTGGCCACTGTTCTTGCTGGGATTGTAAAATAATAAGAAGTTCAGAAATCTTTTACTGCAAACGCAGGTCTCAACTGATTTTATCTTATACTATACAGAAGGGAAAATAGGCAAATGCTGCAAGCTCACAGACTGTTATTAACTCAAGAGGATGCTCCAGGGATCCAATTTTGCTCAGGGCACGACAAAATGACTTCAGAAGCAGCCATGCCTCCCAGCAGTGCCGTCAGCATTACATCACTCCTTCCCCAAACGCCAGAGCCGCCGAGGGAGCGCACCCCTCCTTACCGGGAGCACAGACACCCCCCCTCCCCGGAGCCCCTTACCGGAGTTCTTCTGGTTGGTGACGGGTTTGCCCTCGGCGGGCACGGCGTGCTGGAAGACCTGCACCGTGTCC